TTTTCCCTGTATGATTTTCTTGAGTGCAAGGAGGCGTAAAAATATATGTTTTTATATTATCTCTCACTATAATTTATTTTTTATCCAAATATGTATTTATTTATCAAAAGGTCATTACAAAGGTAATATCTACTCATATAGTACAAGTACATCTAGAGCAGATGGTATGTTATTCTTACAGTCGGTTATGTAAATTTCGAACAATAACACTATCTGTTCCCAGATCTTCGTTTCTACTATACTTTATCTACATACAGATTTAAAAAGTATCTCTAAACTTGTATACATATTACAACATGCTTCAATGGGACAGGAAGGGGGTTAAACTCGGGATAACATTGTGTCCATGCTGGAAATTATCTGGTTTCGTAGACATACAGTACCTATTGACAGAACTGTTAAAGTATATATTACTGAAGAGGGAAGAGAAGGGAAGGGAAGAGGTATGAGAGGATATAGGGGCAATTCTTTCTATAATTTATTTATTTAATTTTGCTCCAATTTGCTATAATGCATATGTCTTGTGACATGGGGGATGATTAGCTCTAGTGGTAGATGCTTTCCAAGTGAGTCCACGCTAGTCAGAAACTCTTTTTTTCAGGGCTTGGTAGCCCACTTTTATTAAAAGTTAAAAAGCAAAAACACAAAAGTCCAAAATAAGCTTTCCCACACAGGGGTTCTTCTCCAGTTGTAAATAGAAATGAAAAAATACCAAGCCTCCTGGCTACTCCTCATTATCCCTGCTGGTCAGCAGTACCTCTGCTAGTATGGATCTCCCAGACCACTGGCTAGTCGCCGGCACACAGCGTTGGACTCCCTGAACGCACACAGCTTGAGCCCTTGAATGCACACAGCATCTGTCTCACACAGAGACACTCAATGGCAGCCACTGCTCCAACTGCACTCCACTCCCCTGCAACTCTCAGCAAACCATCATTATATGGGCTGTGAGCACCTGGGCCCACACCCTGCTGGTTGACTTCAACCTCTGGACACTGGATTGGAGATTTCTTCCCTCCCAAGCAGGGGCGGACTGACAACTCATGGGGCCCCCGGGCCATAGGGGATCACGGAGCCCCTGTGTCCTTGCCCAAACTCAAAAAAGCCTATGAAAAAGGTACCAGGGGCATCTCATGGGGCCCTCTACTGACCCCAGGCCCTCAGGCAGTTTCCAAATGGTCAGTCCGCCCCTGCTCCCAAGGCACTTTGAAATCCCCAAACTATGGAGCCCCATCCAGAAATATCAAAATTTGGAGTAACCTGCAACAGCCGTTTTCTCCACTCAAATCTACACTCCGCAGTTCTGTACTTCGCACATGTGCAGACCCTGTGTCCATTATCAGACCACTTCTACCTGTTTTTATCCTGTGACAGAGCCCTGCTCTGTTACAGTCTGTACAGAATAATATTGCTGGCTTAATGTGTTAGTGCGCTATGGTATTTGTATAGGATACAGAGTGCTTTGGCAAACTAAATTTTGTTCATTAAGAGTGTAGATCTTTAATAGGAAGTCATTTAGTTAGGTACTCTTTAGATATATACAACCATTTTGTCTTTTCAATTAGCTTCTGTATCTCCACTGCCTTGGTCATCTTGTACATTGTGGGGCTGATTTACCAAAACTGGGGAGTGCTAAATCTGGTGCGGCTGTGCATGGTAGCTAATCAGTTTCTAATTTCATGTTGTTCAGTTAAGCTTTGACAATGAAACCTGGAAGCGGATTGGTTTCTATGTAAAGCTGCACCAGATTTTGCACACTCCAGTGTTATTAAATCAACCCCTGTCTGAGTTCCATCCTTTGCTTTCTAGAGATGAAGGTATCAGCGTGTTATTTTTATTGTAGACATATGAATGTGATCAGCATGTTGTAAACTGTCTTGAGAATTTGTATTTAAGTTATATCTAAAAACCTGTCAGTTTTTTGCCATGTATGTCATTTTGGGAAGATTTCACTTTACTTCTTGACCAGAAGACACAGCAGGAATTGAGAATCTTTTTAATGTGGTGGAAATCCTCCTTTAGACAGTTATTACTGCAACAATATGAAGATCCAAACCAGGTACATGGGTGAATGGACAATTAAACACTAACATAAGTTAGTAATCAGGACTGGTGCTTCCCCTAGGCAAACTAGGTGGACGCCTAGGGTGCACTGCCACCTAAGAGCACCTGGGAGCAGCACAGGCAGGCACTCTTTCTGTGTGGGATGCTGCCACATGAATGATTCTCCAGCTGAGGGGAAGGGCGACAGAGAGGAGGAGAGTACAGAGAAGGATAGAGAAAGATGCCGGGTGTCTGGGGCCAGAGTAGCATCTGAGCTGCCTCTCCTTCCAGCGTTCCTCTCAGACTCAGTCCCTTACTGCAAGCCAGCTGGCGGCTGCTCATCACTGTGGGGTTCCAGCCCTTCTTTTCCCATTCATCAGTGGAGGCGGAGCTACGCCTGACTCTGATATCTCTTGTCTGTGTCAGTGCGACCCGGCCGGCCATCCATCCATCCATCACATGTGCAATGTGTCAGTGAGTGATGACATCATCATGATCCCAAAGCCTGCTCTTCTAGTGCCTGCTAATCTGTGTCAGTGTTGGTGGTGCTGTGTTGTGTCGGACCTGTCTGTTATTTTTTGCACTATAAACAAAAAACATTCTGAATAAAAACAATAGTTTTCACTTTTTGTTATAAAACATCCAGTAAAAAAAAAAATTTTAAATCTAATTTCATCATAAATTTAGGCCAACATGTATTCTGCTACATGTCTTGGCTAAAAAAATCCCAATGCATGTAAACGAATTGGTTTACTTGAAAGTTATAGTATCTACAAATGGCGGTATATACTGGACTTTTTATTTTTAATTTTTTTTATACTGGTAATGGCAGTGACCAGCGACATATCGCGGTACTACGAGACTGCGGCAGGCATTCTGACACTGGGGGGGGGGGGGAACTGACTAACTGCCACTGACATCCCCAGTGAAACTAATACAGTGATCAGTGCTAATCAAAAGCACTGACACTGTACTAATAGCACTGGGCAGGAAGGGGTTAACATCTGGGGTAATCAAAGGGTTAACTGTGTGTTGTGTGTGTTTTACTAGGGAAACACTGCTATGCAGAGCAATACAAAGCAGCATGTCTGTGCTGACAGGGGAGAGATTTGTATTGTTTACATACAGACCTTTCCCCTTTTACTGTTCTTTGGTGATCAGCGGGTGTCAGTGATCGAAGCTGTAGCTGCCAGTGGCGGCATGGGTAGGGCAGCGCGCGCATGCCCCCTACGTGATTTTGTGTGGCCCTGCCACCTTGTAGCAGTAGTTCTGCTATAGGGTGGTTGGGAAGCGGGTAATATTGATGCTGGTGGCATCTCATGGCACTTATTTTTGCAAATCAACTGAAATTAAGCAGGTAAATGTTTTGTTGATTTAATATTTTCTACCGTTTAAAAAATTTTGTTTTTTTTAACTTTTATTTTATTTTTTTTTGGGGGTGGGGTGCAAGTAGCTGGTTTTTGTCTAGGGTGCAAAATAGTCTAGCGCCGGCCCTGTTGGTAATGATGGCTCTGTCAGTTCACAAATTTATATGAGCTCCATGAACAATGAAAAACACAACTGTCATGGAGCGTGTATAAGTCGATCAAATTAACAATAATGTATGATGGTGCAGAGGATCAGTAAGAAAGGGGGATCACTTTTTTTTCTTGATTGATCCTTTGGACCACCATTCATTGTTGTCAATTTGACCGACTTATACGTGTCCATGACAGTTGTTGTTACTGCAACAAGTGACCCCCTTGGAATATTTTCCTTTTATCCCTGTTCTGGTGGCAAATAAAAACGTAAACTTTTCCCATAACTTTCAGTCTCAGTACCAGGACAAACAGAGTCTTGTAAATAGGGTAGCTCTGCAAAGGCAGAACATAACCATTTCTCAGAAGCACCTATTGCAACTCACAACGGCGATCACATAGTCCAGCAGAGGCCTGAGAACTCCTCAAAAGGTTCAGGGCATATCTCTAAGTGCTTAGGATGGAATGTTCAAAATGGTGGTCCTCTAATAAATCCTTAAACTGGCACATCTCCTAGTCAGTTAGACACGCTTTCCCCTGATACATTACAAGATTTGAAAGCACTTCCCAATAATGAAACAGCTGCCTGGTCTTACCACCTACAATGATGTGTCAGTATCTCTCCAGCTTAGGACCTATAACCAGAGTCTGTGATTGCACACAACACTTAGTTCTTTTTCAGTTCTTCTAATCTAGTGGAGAAAGTCTGTGTGTGATTAACATAACTATGTGCAGCTTTCCTTAATCAAAATCCTACTGCTGTTGACTGGGTTACTGAGGAAACACTAGAACACACATGCTTGAATTACCAACACTGGGCTCATAGCATCTTTACTCAGCATCCTATTCCTACTTGACAGAGGAGACAAACCTCCTATATTACAATGCGCCACTTAACCACTTGCCTACAGGAAACTTACAGTATAGGCCAATTTTCAGCTTTCAGCGCTGTCACACTTTGAATGACAATTGCGCGGTCATGCAACACTATACCCATATAAAATTTGTATAATTGTTTTTTGAGACAGAGCTTTATTTTGGTGGTATTTAATCACCTCTGGGTTTTTTATTTTTTGCTAAACAAACCAAAAACAACTGAAAATTTTGAAAAAAAAATGTTTTTTCTTAGTTTTTGTTATAAACTTTTGTAAATAAGTGATTTTTCTCCTTCACTGATGTGCTCTAATGAGGCTGCACTGATAGGCTGCACTGATGGACACTGATAGGTGGCACTGATGGGCACTGATGAGGAGGCACTGGTAGGTTTTTGTTCTAAAATGTTGGTAATAAGTGACTGTTCTCCTTCACTGATGTGCGCTAATGAGGCTGCACTGGTGGGCACTGATGGGCACTGATAGGTGGCACTGATGAGGAGGCACTGGTAGGTGGCACTAATGGGCACTGAAAGGCAGCACTCATATATTGCACTAATAAGCGGCACTGGCTGGCACTGTTAGGCAGCACTGATGCGCACTGATAGGCGGCACAAACTGGCACTGATAGGCGGCTCAAACTGGCAGCACTGATAGGTGGCACTGACTGGCACTGATAGGTGACACTGAAAGGCAGTTCAGATGGGCACTGATATGTGGCATTGATGTGCACTGGTAGGCACTGATATGTGGCATTGATGAGGCACTGATGGGCACTGGGAGGTGGCACTTCTGGGGCTACACTGATCATCAGGGCACACTGATCATCAGTGCCCTGATGATCAGTGCACATGTCCCCTCTGAGGAATGCCGATTACCGACTCTCCTCTCCTCACGAGCTGTCAGCTTGATAGCTCCTGAGGAGAGAAATGCCGATAACCGTCATTTCCCTATTTACATGCGATCAGCTGTGATTGGACACAGCTGATCACATGACCAAGCCGCTTTTCGGCTGTTTCCTAGGGACCGCTGTGTCCTAGGGACACAGTGCACCAATTGCCACGCTGCGTGCTCCCGGAGCCACGCACATGTGGTCAGAGTGGGAGGACATCGTATGACATCCTCCCAGAACGAGAGAACACCCTTGCACCCATCATTTCCTTATATGGCGGGCGGGAAATGGTTAAAGAGTTAACATGCCCAAAGTGGCAGATGGCCATAATTTGCCACACACTGTCACTAATTCCTTGTCGAATGGTATCAACTGGTTCAATAGAAACTGGCTGACATTTGGCCTATGTGTATGGCAGCCGGTGCCATGGAAGTCAGCCATATATACCAAGCATATTCATCTGAGAAATGGTTTTGACTTCAGAAAAGCAGGTAAATTGCATCTTCTATGCTTTAGAAATAGTTAATTTGGATGCTAAGAGTACATCATGTGACAGTTTAAAATTGTGTTTTAGTGAGATTGGGAGGTTTAAAGTGTAAAAGGGTGTAGAGGAAGGGAAACACTTTGGACCACAAATGACCTAGCATCGGAAAGGTCCACCATGTATAGAGGACATTTCCTGCAATTTGGTAGTCCTAAAACATAAGCCCAAATGTCCAAGGATTATGTGGGCAAGTCTGGTTGTTACTATATACCATCTGGTTAGGACCTAAGTGGCATAGATTTCAAACAATTGCTTTCACAGGACTTACCAGTCCAACAAATTCAACCTTTGAGCTAACCCTGTGATGTTAAAATGTCTTCAACTCCAAAGTTTCATCACGGGTGTTTAGGTACCTCTTACAATATTTGGGGCCAATGTGCATACATCAGTTTAAAGTGATACTAAAGGCTTACATTTTTTTAAATAAAAATAACAAACATGTCTATACTTACCTGCTATGTGCAGTAGTTATGCAAAGAACAGCCCGGATCCTCCTCTTCTCGGGTCCCCAGCAGGCTCTCCTGGCCCCTTCCTCCTGTTGGGTGCCCCATAGCAAGCAGCTTGCTATGGGAGCATCCGCTGCTCCATGTGTCCATTCACATAGAGAGCTGTGGCTTGACCATGGCCCCCTCTCATCTCATTGGCTCACTGGCTGTAATTGACAGCATCGGGAGCCAATGGCTCGGCCAATGAGGAGGAGTCCCAGGATAGCCGAGACCCCAGTGCACATCGCTGGTTCGAGAGGGGGCTTAGGTGAGTATTAGGGGGAGCTGCTGCACACAGAATATTTTTTACCTTCATGCATATAAAGCATGAAGGTAAAAAACCTTGAGCCTTTACAACCATTTTAACTTGCATGAGAAGTGTGTTGAGAAAAAGCCTTTGCTGTCTAAAAAAACATGCACCAGTTCCTTTCCACTTCTGTTTCAGAGGCCACATGCTGCAGATGGTTGTCTGTATTTTCCTTGCCTAGGTACTCAAGACAGTGAAGGCAAAATACTCTTTATACTGGCTTCAAGTAGGTAAACGGTTGGTTTACTGCAGTTAACTATCTTGCTTTTTCTGTCTTCTTCCACCTTTTCCTCGTTTCAAGATATTTTTTGCTCCTGTATCATGTCTCTAGTCTAGGACTGTCTCCTGAAGCATGTCCACTGTCTCTACCAACTTCTGTAGCAGGTTTGCAGTCTCTGACCATATCCTGTTGCAAGGTTGCAGTCTCTGTTACATGCCTGTATGTCTTGTAGCATATTTGTTGTCTCTGACCATCTCTGCATGACTGCAGTTGTAGAATTCTCTTTTCATTCACTGAATATGATGTGCAGCCACACTGGAGACCGATATCAAATAGGCCACCACTGCTCTAGTTGCTAGAAACCTTATTTTTTTACCATGACAAATTGGATATAAAAATTCATGCACTGTTCCCTATGAACTATAAAATAGCACAGCATGAATAAATACCTGGAAAATATATACATCTCTATATTTAAATTTTACATTTTACAATGAAGGACCTCACTGAGGGAGAGTTACAAAATTGGCTCATTTAATGACATTCCTGCATTATGTATGAGAAATTTCCAATTGCATGTGCCTATTTTTCTTTCATATGTGCTTACTTTACAATAGCACTTGCATACAATTAAGCAAACAGTGCATATATTTTGCATGGGCAGTCCCTGCATGGCCTACTGTAAACCAATGACTCTGATATCCTTGCCTTCCTCAAGAGTAATAGTGAATTATTCTATATATTCAATATATTTATGGAAAGTCTGTAATGACTAAAAATAAGAAGCTCATCCACTGTACTGTATTAGATGCAGTTCAGTGAACACCCTTGTTCTAAATCTGTTTCCTTTAACAGCATAATCAATTTTATATATCAGATCAAACTAAGCAATTAATTTATTGCCTTGCCATGCCGTCTATATCTTCATAGAACTGCCAGTGACAGCTGATGGCATTGACTGAAGCCTCTGGGAATTAAGACCAAATGAAATGTGTTTTGTGTTGAGTCTGTAAAATATTGTTGCAATATGGGAAAATAGATAAACTAAACAAACAGGCCTGATGCAGACTGAGGATTTCAGATGCCGCCGGCAGTGTTAAAGACTTCTGTTTCTACAAATGGTCCCGGCATTTGAAATTCTAAGACTCCAACAGATACTTCTGAATACTTATGGATAGGTTTAAAGGAGCATGCAGCCCCCCAAAAAGCATATTTTATTTAACTACAGTGCTATTTCTGTATCTTTTTTAACTATTAAAAAATGAAAATTGCGGTAGTATAATGGTTTGTGTTAAAAATATATATTTTTTGTTTATAAATTGATGTTTATATCTATTTTGTTTTTCTTTTTTACAAACAAATATTTAAACACTTCAATACCGGGCACTTATACCCCCTTCCTGCCCAGGCCAATTTTCAGCTTTCAGCGCTGTCGCACGATCATGCAACACTGTACCCATATGAAATTTTTAGAATTGTTTCACACAAATAGAGATTTCTTTTGGTGGTATTTAATCACCACTGAGTTTTTTTTATTTTTTGCTAAATAAAACAAAAAACACCTGAATCTTTTGGAAAAAAAAGCACTTTTCTTTGTTTCTGTTATAAAATTTTGCAAATAAATAAAATTTCTTCATAAATTTAGGTCAACATTTATTCTACTACATTTCTTTGGTGAAAATAATAATAATAATTTAATTTGTATTTTTTTTTCAAATGGTTTTTATTTTTTTATTGATTTATTTGTTTATAAATTGATGTTTATATCTATTTTGTTTTTCTTTTTTACAAACAAATATTTAACCACTTCAATACCGGGCACTGATACCCCCTTCCTGCCCAGGCCAATTTTCAGCTTTCAGCGCTGTCGCACGATCATGCAACACTGTACCCATATGAAATTTTTAGAATTTTTTCACACAAATAGAGATTTCTTTTGGTGGTATTTAATCACCACTGAGTTTTTTTATTTTTTGCTAAATAAAACAAAAAAAAACACCTGAATCTTTTGGAAAAAAAGCACTTTTCTTTGTTTCTGTTATAAAAAATTTGCAAATAAATAAAAGTTCTTCATAAATTTAGGTCAACATTTATTCTACTACATTTCTTTGGTGAAAATAATAATAATAATTTTTAATTTGTATTTTTTTTTCAAATGTTTTTATTTTTTTTTATTGAGCGACTCATTTTGACAGGATGTCATATGACGCCCAGTCACAACGAGTGTCCCGCCCGGCCATCAATCTGCTATAGGCAGGGTGAGAAAGTATTAAATAACCAATGACAAATGCTTTTTAAAGCAAGAGCTGTTTGTCTGCAGGCTCCCTTCCTCTCTTAAAGTAGCTTAGTAGGTATCTATTAGCAGGCAGGCAGAGAAGAGAAGAAAAGGGATAGAGATGAACCACTGCTTTGACTCAGTAAATTGTGGTTCAGCTACTGTGCTCTGTAAACAGGCCATTGTCAGCAGAGCAGCTAATAGTAGACAGATAATCTGTGAAAAGAAGCCTAGTATTCAAATTACTAGTGGTGAGAATGCAAAATGTTTATATGTAATATGTCATATTTTCAAGAATATTTATTACTAGAAAGAGAAAATAGGAAAAAACTATACATGCCTTTAAACACCATAGAAACATCCATGGGTTAAGTGCTGAAGGGGTTTACTTGTTTGATATATACATTTTTATATTTATCTATTGTTGTCTGCATCCCACCGTAAAGATTTTATTTCCGACCCTGTCCTATAGACACATCAGATTGTTAGAGGAATTTTCTGTAAGGTGAGGGACATCCTTTCCTTGGCAGCTGTCACTGAAACAAGTGTCCCCATTGGAAGATGACAGCCTGATGACAGCTGAAAGATTTCCTCTCAATTTCAGCCCTGGTAACAGTGGCAACCAGGACAAATAGAAAAGGTGAATTTTCCCAGTGGAGGCAGAGATAGAAAAAAGTCCTGACAGGGTTGATAATCATTCCCTTCTAAAAATGGAATGATATGAAAGGTAGTGTGAGAGCAACAGAATACTAAATGTGCATGTAGAGGACTTGGATAAGGAGACCTGTTGGAGTTGGTGTAGAAAGCAAGTAGTATTGATGAAAACTTCAAAGTTATGATCAGGCAAAGAGGTGCAGTTGACAGGCGTAGGACCAAGAACTGACTAGGGTCAGAAAAAGGTGGATATCTAGTTTATAGGCAGGTATAGTTTCAAGCAATTAAGTCAGCAGCGAACAGGCAGCGAGGAATATATAATATACATCCTTCAGTGCCTTCTTAGTAATTAGAATTTGTGAGTTAATTTTAGTAATACACCTCTGCTGCTTGACTGTATATGTCATATTTATGCCCTTTCTATTAAAAACCTCAGTAGAACTGTTGTATTTGCAGTAAATTTAATTTGCTTGTGTAATTATTGATTTCATTTACTCTAGTTTAATTGACTTGTTCTAATAAAATGTATTTTATGTATACTAGAAAAGGTAAGTGAACTGGAAATTTTCACTGTTCCTTAAAGGATAAGTTCACCTTTTTACATAAAGTAATAAATTCACATTTTTCTGCAGATATAAAAATGTGCATTTATTATTTTTTGTTTCTGGAACCTGTAAAGGATTGCACCAGCAATCAGCAGATCACTGGTGCCATGAAGGTCTCCT